TACATTCTGCCATCTCTGGTTGTCATTTATAGTTACCTGATTGTGAGCAAGAAAGGGCACCTTCTCCTGCCATGGACGATCCCTTTCACTGTTCATTTGGGTTATTTCTTGCTAATTTGTAGGAAATCTTTATGGAATCTGAGTTTGTGCTCTATTGGGTTTTTGGTTGTTGGGGGGGGGGTTCTTTAAGTAACCCTGGCTGTCCTGGAACTAGCTCTGTAGACCAGGCTGGCCTCAAACTCAGTGATCCTTCTGCCTCTGCCTCTCTAAGTGCTGGAATTAAAAGCATGCACCACCATGCCCGGCTGATCTGTTGGTTTTTTGGAAGATATGTTATTATTTTGTGTGTATGAATGCCTGCATGTATGTTTGTGCGCCATGTGCATGCTGGTGCTGATAGAGGCCAGGGCAGAGTGCTGGATCCTCTGGAATCAGAGTTGCAGATGGCTGGTAGCTGCTTTGTGGTGGGAAACCAAACTCAGCCTCTGCAGAGCATCTTGGGTGCTCCTCACAGCCGGACCATCTCTCCAGCCCCCTCTGCTGGCAGCTATTTATCTTTTACTTCTTCACTCTATGATATGATAGCTCAGTGTGTGTGGGGTGTGTGAAATGATTAATAGATATTTTTGTTCATTTCAGAAGTGGTATCTTTCTTGTAGTGTTTAATCCAATGTCATTGGAGTAGATACTTGATAAGATTTCAATCTTTGAAATGTTTCAACAAGTTATGACCTGGTGTCAGTCTATTTTGTTAAATGTGCTTCAAAAGTTGTTTGTTGTGGAAGTGGGTAGGTCACTTGTTTTATTTTGTATTGTTTTTGAGATAGAGTTTTACTATGTAGAGCAGGCTAGCCTCCATCTTCTGCCTCTACCTCCCAAGTGCTGAGCTTAAAGGGGGTGTGTCACCACATCTACGTAAGATCTTTTTCACACACCTCTCTTGGGGTGTGCTGAGGATTTAACCCAGCATTACCTGTGTGCTGGGCAGTTGAGCTGTATCCTCAGCTCTAAATTTCTCTTTTGGCAGCATGGAGAAGTTGGATTTTAAAATCCAGTCTGGTGGTCGGTCTTTTCATATACAGTCTGCTATGTAGTCCATATATGTTTGGTTTTCTTTATCCTACCTGCTCTTTACACTTCTCCTTTTTCTTTCAGATAAAGTATTTTGCATTATTCCAGTTGCCTTTATTAGGTTGATAGACATATACTGTTTTTATGTCCTTCGGAGATTTCTCTGTGACATTTTTAAATTATTCAAGCCAGGAAGTACTTGCTACTTCTAGAATAATGCATAGATCATAGAACTCTTAGCTCTGTGTACTGTGGATTTTCTGTGCTGAGGTCAAAGGTGTGCATCATCACTACCCTGAAGCTTCTTAGGTTTTGGGGATTGGAGGAAACTAGTGACCTACTTTAAATCGTTAAATACAATTTAAAGATTTTTTTATTCAGGGATATTAGATTAGGCACAGAAGGGAGCATTAAATAACTTTCAAAGAGACTAAGACCTCAAAGTAATTTGTCTCTGGCTTGTAACAGTCTTATACACTATGACTGCATACACTAAATGCAGGTATGTTTTTCCCCCTCCCTTGGGAACCTCAGTGTGCTGTACCTTGAAAATACAGTATCAAGTTTAAGATATTAATACCAAGGACCACCTACTGTATGATTGAGTAGGTTAGGTATATGAATAAATGATCCCAAATAGGCAAGTGTATAGACACAGAAAGTAAATTAGTGGGGCTTTGAAGAAATGGGGATGGACTTGATGAGTTTATAGGAAAGTGATAGCTTGAAAGGAATAGATATCTTTTTGAGTTAATGAGGATGTTCTAAAATTGACTTTGTTATCATGCTAGTCTATTTCTGAATATATTAAAGATCTTTGAACTATACACTTTTAAGTGTGCAAATTTTATGGTGTGTGTGATACAGCTTTGGAGACAGTCTCACTACGTACCCTTGGCTGTCCTGGAATTCCCTATGTAGACCTGAGTCCCTCAAACTCAACAAGAAATCTGCACACCTCTGCTTCCCTTGTGCTGGGATCAAAGACTTGTGCCACCGTGTCTGTGAGTTGTAAAACGTCCTTCCATGTTAGTGGGGCTTTAGAGGCAAACATAGGAGCATGCCTTAGGCCCAGCTTCCTACCTTCAGATCTTCAAATTCCATAAATGCTGTGTAATTGTACTTCTTTATTACCTCGTGTGCTTGTGTGCATGCATGACACTTCTTTCATTCCACCCTTCATGGCCTCAGGTTGTTGGGCTTGACAGCAAGTGCATTTACGCTCTGAGCCATCTTGAGAGCAGCGTGGCTGTACTGTCGATTATTTAGTTCAAATGTGAGAGAGGTCAAACTTAAAGGGCTTTCTGAGTTTAAGATTAAAGCAGTTGATCTGGATCAACTTTCTCATCTTATGTATTAAATGCATTTTGTTTGTTTAATTACAGTAGACCTGTAATAAAAGTTATAAATTTAGTTAATAAATTTTGATTTATTTTGCGTATGATATGTATAGGTTTGTCATTGAAATCAGAAACCCAGTGCAGCAATTTATTTGTCATTGACACCATGTGAGGCCAGGTCTTTAACCCTTTTCTCGGTGTTTGAAAATGAAAAAGGTTCATTCTCTTCACAGAGTCCCTGTGGATCCGGAGAGCCGCAGAACAGTGGCCATCGTTTGCTATGTTTGATGCTTGTATTTTATGCATTGTAATTTCTGCTTTATAAAAATACTTTCTGTATTTACTTTATTATTGCTGATAACTACCAGAGGGAGAGGTGGTTAAGTTGTGCTCATGCCTTATAGAATTGTATAGAATGTAAATAGTGTTTTGTGAAGATTTTTTTAAGTTGATTGGAAATAGGTAAAAAGATTATATATCATAAAGCCAGGTGTATTGGCACATGCTTTTAATTACCTGCAGAGGCTGTCAGATTTCTGTGAGAACAAGGCCAGCCTGGCCTACATAATGAGTAGGACAGCCTGGGCTATGTATAGAGACCGTGTCTCAAAAAAATTAAAAAATAGAGGGGGAAAGCTCAGATGAGAAAGTTCCAGAATGTTTACTATAGTACAGTTTTGTGTATCTTTATGCTTTCTTGGCCTTTTTCCAAAGTTTGGATATGTGTGTGAGTTGAGAAGGTAGGTTGTAAAATCCAGGTTGTAGAGTGAAGTGGTCAAGCCTGTGAGCCAGGACTCAAAAGGCTGGATGGGAGTTTGAGGTCACCTTCTGCTACAGAGTGACATCCTGTCTCCCAGAACCAAAACAAACAAAGCACTACAGCTATAGTGTTGGGACTTGGCTTGGGAGTGTTCCATTTATATATATATGAATGAATAGAATGCTATGAATCTTTACACTTCTCTGCTTTTCAGATTTGATTATAGTACGTGGCTGTTTTTTTCTGTACCCCTTAAGCCTCGGCAACAGAGATGGCTGTCCATCTCTTATCTGAAATGGTCTGAGATCTGAGGCCTTTTGAGTCACAACACAACACTCAAATTTCAGGTTATTTTGGAACATTTTAAGGTTTTTGATTAAAGACAAGATAGCTCCTTCCAGAAGCATTTCAGATAAGGAACACTCAGCCCTTCTCAGTGGGATCATGTTTTTGTAACATGTTTTGTTATAGTTGTGCTGGCATCTGTACTGAAACCTCCCACTGTAAGTGGTGGGTAGAGTTGTGAGGAAGGGATTCTTTTCTTGTTCTTTAAAGATTTGTTTATATATTTACTATGTATGCAGTATTCTACCTACCTACATGTGTGCCTGCAGGCCAGAAGAGGGCACCAGGTCTCATTATAGATGGTTGGGAGCCACCATGTGGTTCCTGGGAATTGACCTCAGGACCTTTGGAAGAACAGCCAGTGAGTGCTCTTAACCTCTGAGCCATCTCTCCAGCCCTAAACGTTATTATTATTTATTGCAACTTGTTCACTTTGTAGCCCCCTCCCTCATTTCTTCCTGGTCCCACCCTTCCTCTTTCTCCCCTATACCTTTCCCCAGTCCACTGATAGGGGGTTCCTGCTCCCCTACTAATCTAGCCTATCAAAACTGATGCTCTGAGGTATTCTGTTATGTGAGTTCCCAGGCCACTGTGAGGTTTTCTGATTTGATTAAAGCCTGTGTGTTTTGGTTATTTTAATAGAAACTTAAGAAATGGTGATCAGAGCCTGGTGCGGTGGCACAGGCCTGTAATCCCAGGGAGGCAGAGGCAGGTGGATCTCTTGAGTTCGAGACCAGCCTGGCGTACAAATCAAGTCCAGGACAGCCAGGGCTACACAGAGAGATCTTGTCTCAAAAAAAGAAAACAAACAAACAAACAAACAAACAAAAAAAAGAGAAATGGTCAGTGTCAGTGCATTTGTCTGTAGTGTCTTGTTCTTTATCTGCGATCGCAGGCTCTTCTATGCTCTAGCAAGTGGTTCTCCAGGTTCTCCTAGTTATATCTGTTTGTTTGTTTGTTTGTTTTTCCCCCAATCTTTCTTTTGGTCTTCAGTTCTGGAAAACCTTCCTCAACTGTGCTTCCTTTGTACTTTCTCTGTTTATAGTTTATTTGACTCTCTGGAGGTTTTACTATTTACTGTTTGCTTTTCTGTGGTACTGCTTGTTAAGAAACGTGGAGTGAAGGAAGTAGGGGTGGCATAAATGGCTGAGAATATGTGATCGCCTGGATGAGAATTGAAAAGAAAGGGGCTAAAGGTGGAGAGTCAGCAGACATGAGCTAATTTGTGACCCCAACTAGATTTGGTCCTGTTGATATAAGAAGGAGACGAGCACCATGAATCTGTGTTTGTGTGCAGCAACCACATCTCTAACACATCTGAGTAAGCCCTTTGTATTAGAGATGGGATCGTCGCACACGAAGGTGGACATGCAGGGTTTGTAGTGTCAGTCACAGGGACCTCCTGAAGTGCCAGTCTGGGTAGCATTGTGCAAACTCCAGTATTATTAAAAATAAATACGTTATTTATTTTGTATCTTATTCAGTTCAAAGAAGAAATCTCTAAACGTTTCAACTCTCATATTGACCAACTTGTGTTGATATTTGCTGGAAAAATTTTAAAAGATCAAGATACTTTGAGTCAGCATGGGATTCACGATGGACTTACTGTTCACCTTGTCATCAAAACACAGAACAGGTATGTCTTCTATAACCAGCCAGGGGCTGTCCTTATCATCAGTATTTAAATGGTTAAAGTACTTCCCTTTGTTTCTGTTGATAGCAGCGTGTGTGTGAAAAACAGCATGTAACTCCATGCTAGTACTAGTATTGGCAGGTTTGTTAGGTAAACATTTCTGTGAAGGGGTTGGGTTGCAAATCCAGGGCAGGTCCTCATTTAATCCTTTAGAGACCTCACCTGTAGAAATTCTAGTATCAGAAATTTGACATTATGTAGAAGTTTTTTTGAGTTAGGTAGCAAATCATTTTTTAAGCTGTTCTCTTTGCTCTAGGGAAAGTTTTAGACATGATTTTGGTAACATGTTAGCAAAGTGCAGATCAACCTCAATTTTTTCTTTTTTCTTTTTTCTTTTTTTTTCAATACAAGATTTCTCTGTTTTAGCTCTCACTATCTTGGAACTCACTCTATAGACTAGGCTGGCCTTGAACTTACAGGGATCTGCCTGCCTCTTGCCTCTGGAATGCTGGGATTAAAGGCCTGTATCACCACCACCTGGTCAATCATAATTTATTAATGTATGATAAATTTTTGAAATTTATTTTTTATCATTGTTCTGAATATCATCTAAATGTTTGTTTTATCTCATTAATGAGAGAGCTTTATCTCACTTATTTGAATATGGAATTTTATTGTGTCATCCCACTACACAAATGCTTAACTATAGTGCAATGGAGTAAATGACCAAAGCCCCCTAAAATGTCTTCATATTTTATTATTAACTTTGTGGCCAGCTTTGCCTTGCTTTGCTGTATAGCCTGGGTCAGCCTGAGTCTGTTACCATGTTGTCTTGGCATCCTGAGTATTGGAAATGCATGCTCGGGTGCCACACTAGCTTCCTTTCAGAGGCAGGCAACCTTCTAATGCAGGCTGACCACAAACTTGCTCCTCCTGCCTGCGGTCCTGAATGTGGGGATTATAGGGGTGCCTCACTGTGCCCTGTGAGTCCCCTTCTGCTCCCTTTGCTACAGACTACATTGGAAAGCATTGCAGCGGAGCCTGTCTTTCTAGAGCTTGCTGTAGCGTTTGCTCCAGGTGCCTCCTCTAAGCCATTCGTACTCGAGCAGGCTTTTGTGTGGTGTTCTCTCAAGAACTGATGAGGAAATGTGTTCTTCTGTGCTTTTCTGTGTACGTGATGATGTCTCACATGACAGTGGTGTGGCTTTAGTGAGGACACATGCTAATAACTGTGTACACAGAGCACCACATGCATGCACATGGTGATTCATTCGTGGTTGTCAAGCAAGTAGAAGACCCGTTATGCTTTCTGAGATGTTGAAGTGAAAAATAAACCTTTGAATTGGCAAGTGAAGTTGAGGTCTAAAATCTTACCTGGTCAGGTGAGAGCAACTTCTCTAACAAAGCCCTGCTTTTCTAAAGAGCGCGAGTAAAGATGGCACCTAGTGTCAGAGCCCAAGCCCTGGCCGCCTTCAGCTAGCTCTACCCATCATCCTCAGTAGTCCAGTGAAGCAAGTAATGCAGAAAAAGGAGAATATGGCCACACTGGGAAGAACAGGTAGAGAGTCTGGCGATACCCCCGCCGCCATCTTCTGGGCCTTGACAGAAGGCTAGGTTTAATAGAGGGTAAGAGGTATACTTATAACTAATAACTAAGTAGTCTTTAGTAAAAGTGAGGCCCTGCCTCGCCACCTTGTCTTGGCTTCAGTCTCTCCTACAAGGTGTGTCCAGTTGCCAAAACTGCGATGAAATGGCATTCCAGGAGACAGGCTCTCCCTCTAGCTGGCATCAGGTCTCCAGCCTTTCCTTCTCCCAGCATGGGACTCCAGGGGAAACTCTAGCTCCTTAGACCCATAGACGGGGTCTTGACTCTTGCCTAGTTAGAATGTTACCAGAACCAGCCCGCTCAGCAGCTCTCCCCTGAGGCGTCTGCTCTCCTGTAGTAGTGGTTGTGCGCCACCTGATGTGGGTGCTGGAAACAGCTCAGCCTCTGTAAAAGCAGCGATTGATCTTAACCAGGGAGCCATCTCTCCAGGCCCTTAAAGTATCTTTAAGTTTTTCACACTTTTAACAGTTTCAAGGACTTAGGTTAAACTGCCCCTAACCGTGGATCTAGAAAAGAAATGGTTTAAGTGTTTGAGCTCTGTGGATGTTACTGACCATGTTTGTATTCTGTGAGGTGATTTGTTGCCCTTTCCTACAATCAGTGATTGAAAGTGATGAAACATTCATATATACTATATTCAAAGCGTAGAGGTAGTCATTTTATTAAGTTTTACTGTGCTTCTAATATTTGTACATGACACTCAGCCATTTCAGGCAGGGCATTAATGACATTCTGTTTACCAGAGCGTAACCTTTGTCTGGCTATTAGAATTTTAAAAATTCTTTTAAAAATAAGGAGTTCTGCATCTTACATTGTGATTTAATTATTTTCACTAGGCCGCAAGATCAATCAGCTCAGCAAACAAATACCACTGGAAGCAATGTGACCAATTCACCAGCTCCTAATAGTAACCCCACTTCTGGTTCTGCTAACAGCCCTTTTGGCTTAGGTAAGCTTTGCTTTAGTCATTCTTTAGATAGGTAGATACATAGAGACGTGGGTGGGTTAAAATGTTCTCTCCCTCAAAGGGTAGTTTTAGATAAAGTGACAGGATAAAACACAAGTCACTTAACAATTTTTTAGGCTTTTCATGGTTTACTTCTGTAATTGTGTTAAGAATATCTTGAAGCCAGGCATAGTGACACACGCCTTTAATCTCAACACTGGGGAGGTGGAAGCAGGCTGATCTCTGAGTTCAAGGCCAACCTGGTCTACAAAGTGAGTTCCAGGACAGCCAGGGCAACACAGAGAAACCCTGTCTCGAAAAAAGAAGTAGCTTGGAATACAAGTCTATTTGATTAGCTTACATTTATTTAGTAAGTGACACACCTGTGTTTTCTAATGAAAGAGATGTAGCCTATAGGTACCTTATAATCAGACTACCACATAATTGTATCTGATGATACAGTAATTGATGATGAGCTGTGGTCAAGTGAGTAATAATTGTTTTCATTTGTATAGGAAGGTACGTGGCAGGTTGCGCTAATTGTTATTTTTCTATCTTGTGTTTTGATTTAAAAAGCCTTGCAAATGTAGCCTGGGTTATTTTTGAATGCTGGTCTTCCTACATTGGCCTTCCTGGCGTGGAGAATACCATATCACTCTGGACCTATGATAGTTTGAAACTGTCTTAGGGGCTGGAGAGATGGCTCATTGTTCGCAGAGAACCCGGCTCAGTTCCGAGCACCCGTACCATGGCTCACAACCATCTCCATATCCCAGGGATCTGACACTCTGACACTGGCCATGCATGTGGTGCACACACATACATGCAGGCAAAACACTCATACACATAAAATTAAAAGAATTAAATCTAATACTTAAAAAGAATCTTGAAACTGTCCTAAACATGTGAAAGAACTGTTTCCCGAGTATCAGTGGTGAGGCATCTTTTCTGTCAGCCCAAACCACTTTCCTTTCCTTCGTGCCTACTCCCCACCTCAGCTGCCTTGCCCTCCTCCTCTATCTTACCTCTTACATGCTGGGCAAGCACGCCACACTGAACTCTCCAGCCCGCTCTGCTGTTCTTATTCAGCTGTGAATGTCGACATTTTGTTGAGGAAAAGTGTTTTGAAGCTAACAAAAGTTGGGGTAAATAGAATAGCTTAAATGTCTTTATCAGCACTCTAAGGCTGTAGCTGGTAAGTTTTTCATGGATACCATTTTCACATATTAGGAATCATCTTTTCTTTTCATAAGAATTTTTGGGTAACTCAATTATGTCAATATATAGTACACAGGTTTTAGAGCATGGCATGATTGCTGTACAACACACACAATACTGATAATAAATAATAGAAATTCTTTTAGGTTTTCACAGAGATGAGGCTCCAACTGCTTCTCTTCTCCTTCCATGACTGGTGGGTGTGGCTGAAACGTCCAGTTTTAATTCGTTATGCTTTCTATTGACCAGTTCCTTCATCCTGTGGCTATCCATGGCACTTCTAATGCTATGCCTCATCAGTGCGCCACTCTACGGGGCCTGTTATAAACAACAGAAGGCACTGTAGAAACCCTATGAGAGAGAAGGAGGAATAAATATATGGTATTAAACTAGACGGGTAAAGAAAAATAGGTCTAGTTGGCTTTGTTAAATATCAAAGTTGAGGCTGGTAAGAAGTCCCAGTGGTTAAGACACTGGCTGTTCTCCCAGAGGTCCTGAGTTCAGTCTCGAGCAACCACATGGTGGCTGTAAAGGGATCTGATACCCTCTTCTGGCATGCAGGTGTACATGCAGACAGAGCACTCCTACATTTAAAAGCAAATTAGTAAATAAATAAATAAAGTCAAAGTTGGAAATATGGCTAATATTGGTTATAGAATGTGCTTAGGCTTGGGAGGCCCACTGTAACAAACACCAGAAAGAAGCAATGGTTTCAGCTGATGGGCTGCTCTACATTAAGGCCTAGGTGTGGCAAGGAGGGTGCAGCAGAGAGCTGCTTCCCTCACAGTGTAACCACTGTCGCCATGCTTCTGCCTCGGAACAGAATGAGAAGAGGCAGAGTGAGTCTATAAGTTGTGCTGGTAATCCAAGGAGACCACATCTAATCTTCTGCCAGCAGATTACATGGCATAGGGGAGAACGAAAGGTTTCAGAGCTCAGTGTTGCCGCTGGTCAAATGGTCAGCCATGAGACTGGTAGTGTCTGTCTCCCATGCTGTCCCTTCTATTCATCCCCTAGTCTCAGGTGGAACACAGAATAGAGTGTGCTGCTAACACACACAGGGTAACAGGGACGTCTGTGCTGTGGGTGAGGTTAACTCAGAACAAACCATCAGCCGTGTGTGTTGTGGGTATTAGTAGACTGTGCAGATTTCTTTCTCTAATCTGGAGTACAAGTATGCCTTTATAATACAGATATACAAGTCCCCTGTCTGTAGCAGCAGGAAGTCCTTTCCAGTGTACTGCACTGCGTAGCCCATTGAGCTAGGAACTCATTAGCACCATGACCACCTTCATGCGTGTGAGAAGCCGAGGAGCAAGGCTTTGGGGCAGCACTCATCTAGTCTAGGAATTGAAGCTGAGTCGTATAATAGTAAGTGTAACACAATATCATAAAAATGAGCTTTAAATGTTTCTTATATATTCTTGTATATTAATATTCTTAATATTATATATTAGTTAGTGATTCTTCATATTTCAGCACAAACTTCTGAGTTTTGTTTTTCGTTCTTATCCTTTAAGGTGGACTTGGAGGACTTGCAGGTTTGAGTAGCTTGGGTTTAAATACCACCAACTTCTCTGAACTGCAGAGCCAAATGCAGCGGCAGCTTTTGTCCAACCCTGAAATGATGGTTCAGATCATGGAAAATCCCTTCGTCCAGAGCATGCTTTCAAACCCTGACTTGATGCGGCAGTTGATTATGGCCAACCCGCAGATGCAGCAGTTGATACAGAGAAATCCAGAGATTAGTCACATGCTTAATAATCCAGATATAATGAGACAAGTATGTCGATAAGTATTTCCTTCCACTTAAGTAAAGAATTTTCATTTACTGATACATTTAAAATTTTATATATAATAAAGTTTTATTTATATATAATATATGTATAATATAGATAGGTAGAGTTAAAAAATGTTATTTTCATTTAAAAAAAATGTTGTTTTCTGTGGTTCCAAAGATTGTGTGTGTACTGTAAAGTTAAAGAAAATTCCAACCATTTTTTAAAAGAAAGTCAGCAAAACATTGATATTAATGTGGTGTACTTGAACTCTGGGTTTTCTGCTATACTTGAAAATTCTTTGAAAAGCACTCTTTAGAAGATGAACTTTTCATACCCATTTCTCCTCAGTGCTATGGGTCAGAGAGAAGGGTCCGAGAATGGAGAGGTGGTTGGACTCAAACAACCGACTTTGTGATAGCCTCTGAATGTACGTTGGTTTTAAAGATGAAAGCCACCGGGAATTTTAAGAAGTACCTTCCTGATTTAAATGTAACAAAAGTGGTTTAAAACTCTCAGTTGGCCTTTTGATTCTAGAATTGGATGTCACCTCATCCTGTAAAATAGAATTAGTGTTTCCATGAACTGAGCAAATGAAGTCAGGCTTTTTATCAGGTAGAAAACTGGTAAAGAAAGCAGAGACAAGAAGGCACAAGGCAGTCAGTTTCCTAATAAGGTTTTGATGCTGACTCCGAGTTGACTGGAATCTTCAAACTAGCAGTTAAAAGTTCAGCCTGACTTAGCACTTAGCACATATGGCTCCCTTCAGTCTTGTGGGGCCTGGTGCACGAACTAGTAGTCCAACTTAGTGCTTCTTACAAATTTCAGCTAAACACTGAAGAAATCCTTGCAGATGTCAGTGTTCTTTTTTTAAGTGGAGATTTCCTTCTTAGACATTGGAACTTGCCAGAAATCCAGCAATGATGCAAGAAATGATGCGAAACCAGGACCGAGCCTTGAGCAACCTAGAAAGTATTCCTGGGGGCTACAATGCTTTACGACGCATGTACACAGATATTCAGGAGCCTATGCTGAATGCTGCACAAGAGCAGGTAATCATTGGCTCCAAAGCTCAGGCTTAAGGGTTGTTCATGTCTGACGCAAGTCATCTGTGAGTGAGGATACTGCCATATGGAGAATGTGGCTTCGTTGAAAAACAATTCTGTACTTAATACTTTTTCTTTTATTACAGTTTGGTGGTAATCCATTTGCTTCCTTAGTGAGCAGTTCCTCCTCAACAGAAGGGAGTCAGCCTTCTCGAACAGAAAATAGGGATCCGCTACCCAACCCGTGGGCTCCGCAGACTTCCCAGAGTGCACCAGCCTCTGGTAGCACCACTAGCACTGTGAGCGGCTCTGCTGGTAATGCCACCAATGCCCCTGCTGGGCAGAGCACCTCAGGTCTGGTGCCTGGAGCAGGAGGTATGTGTACCTTGTATTGATAATAGAACTGTTGCTGATACTGTTTATGCATTCATATGCATCCCTTTTATGAAGACTTTTTGTTGCAGGCTTTTCGGATTTTCTGAGATAGAATTTTTAAATTGTGTATCTCTATGGGGTATAACGTATTTATTTGTGTTAAATCTGTATTTATTTAGAGTATGTGTGCATGCCATGTGTGTCTAGGAGCCCATGGGAATCAGGAAAGGAAGGGTGTCAGATGTCATAAAGCTGGAGAGTTACAGATGTTGTGAGCCATCTTGTGGGCTCCAGGGATTGAACCAGGTTCTCTGCAAAAGCAGTAAGCTCTCTCTTAACTGCTGCTCCATCTCCATCCCCTACACTAGGTCCTGATCTATGCATTTGTGTATTTGTTGTCACATGATTAAATGTATTCACCATACTATACAGAAGATATCCAGAGCTCATTACTGGGAAAATTTAAAAGGAGGAACAACATTTTAAGATGATATTGAAATTACTCTGGTTGCTATTTGAAGAACATATATTGAGTATTATGGTTTGGAATGAAATACCTCTCACAGGTGTATGTGTTTAAAGCCTTGCTGCTGTCACTATTCTGAAAGGTTTTGGAAACTTTAGGAGATGGATAGGTCACTAGGGGTGCTCCTTGAATGTGTCTCGGCCCTTGCCTCTTCCCTGCTTCTTGGCTGCCGTGATGTGAACTATCATTCTTTGCCAATATTTCCATGTTGCTGTGGACTGATGTCTCTGAAATCATGAGCCATAATAAATTTCTCCTTTAAATTGTATTATGTCCAGTATTTTATCACAATTATGCAAAAGTAACTAATATATTGGGGGAGTCAAAGTTAGTGAAAGGAACTTGATTCTGAAGACATTTGGGTAACCAAATGTTATGAGGACATATGAGATAATGGCTTGAGTGACTGAAAAATAGAAAATAAACCATGTATCCACTTACTGATGAAGAAGTAAAACAAATTATCCTCATTAATAGTATGATTGTACTGTTACTGTTAGATACATACAGGATCTAACATGAAACATGCACATTTAGATATCTAACACCTAAGTTGTTGCCACACTAATTCAAACATTTCCTTGTCTTGCTCCATTCATTCTCTCTCTGAGAAAGGAAACAATCCTTAGTTCTAGAAGTTTGTAGAAATAGACCACATGGTGTGGTTCTCTTGTATGTCTGTACTGGTTTTGAAATTCATTCATACTGTGTATGTCTATGATGTGTTTTGCTGACAAGTATTTCCTTCTGGGGGTATATGGCTTCATACCATATGTGTGGCCTTTTTCTTTTCAGCCTGTTTCTCCAGAAATGTAGAACCATGAGAATTAGGCAGGAAATTTAGTATAACAAGATTGAGATTCCCAGACAAGGTGAAAACACTATGTGTTGGATCTTAGTAGAGGCCAGAATGGACTTGGAAATTGTGATGTCCACTGAATTTGGAATGAGGGGCTGGTGATGTATGTGAACTAAGGGTCCAGGGTTGGCATCGTCAGAGGTAAGGATATGTCTGTATTTCTCTGGAAAGACTGGTCTTGATTGTCACCCTGAGGTAATTGCTGTCAGTGGGATCCTTGTTGCTGATTATGTTTCGTTTTGCATTGTGCTTTTTGAACCAAATCTTCATATTGTTGGTATGTGTGGCCATTTTTGAGGCCAGCATATTTTTGCAAAGGCTGGAATCTGGATATTGAGATGTTCAGGTCTCCAGTTGCTGTTTAATTAACAGTTTTGTTTGGGTGTTCTATTACATGCTTCCTTCCTGAATTCATTCCCATTGTTACATGAAAGATTTTTTTTCTAAAGGAAACTTTACATGCATGATGGTTATGTATGTACATTAACAGTAAGAGTGTTACTGAAGATTTTTACTTTTTTAACAATTTATTTATTTATTATGTATACAGTATTCTACCTAAATGTATGCCTGCATACCAAAAGAGGGTACCAGATCTTGTTATAGTTGGTTATGAGCCACCATGTGGTTGCTGGGAATTGAACTCAGGACAGCCAGTGTGCTCTTAATCTCTAAGTCATCTCTCTAGCCCCCTAAAGATTTTTAAAGCAGTGTTCACACACCTTAGTAAGATAGTCAAGAGAGATTGTTTCATTTTCTGGGTTTTTAGTTGGTTTTGTGGTTTATATCTATGGAATCTCAAGGATCAGCTCAAGGGCCAGAGCTAAAGGGCTGGAGTAGAGCAAGTGCCAAATGTGTTAAGAAGGCTTCTGCAGCCAGGCTCAGGGCCACTGTCCAGCTACATGGGAGGGAGACTGAGATGAGGGGACACTACTTGAATTTGGGTGTTCAAGACCATTGTGAACAGTGAGTGACCAACAGTGACTGACTCCATCCTTCTCTAAATCGGAGTTTCTGGGTCTTAATTCAGAACCCATGAACGAACTAGAACCTTTCATGGTGAGGTGTAAGATCTGTGGGGAGTGAGGCTAGTTTATTATTCTTAGATTAGCATAAAGAGTACTGGGCCTCACAGTTGCATCTTGTGCAGATGAATCATTACATGTTTCTTTTCTTTGTTCCCCTTTCCTGCTACCCTCCCCCATGGCCCATCTTCCCAAACTGGCTTCTTTCTGCTCCCAGTTAATCCCAGTTTGTGCTTTTTTTATTGCATGTATTCAGCTGTTTTCCACATCTGTTAAGATATCTTCTTCCCCTCTCATGATCCCCTTTTCAGTTTCCTGGTTTAAACACACTCAGATATAATTAGACACACACACAACTTTATCTCTGATTCCACATGTGAGAAAAAAATGTATTCAAGTCTGGCTTATTTTGCTTAGCATAAGGATTTCTTCCATTGCTTCCATTATGTGTTCTGCAAATGTCATGATTGTAGTTTTACGTATTTTATATCAGTTGGTCTGTTGGTAGGTATTAGGCTGACTATAACCTGTCTGTTGTGAATAACACAACACTATGCTACTTAAGAGTCATTCAGGTCTATACCCAGGAATGGTGTAGCTGGGTCACGTGGTGGTTCTAGTTTCATGTTTTTTAGGATCTTCCATACTGCCTTCCTTGTGGCTACACAAGTTTATATTCCTATTTGCAGTGAATATAAACGGTGTGCCTCTTGACCCACAGCATCTCCACTGTGTCTCTTGAGCGTTCTAACTGGAATGCAATGGAATCTCAAAGCAGTTTTAACATGCGTTTCTCTAATACGTAAGGATGTTGAACTTTTTCAAGGATTTGAGAATTGTCTGCTCAGCTTATTACTGAATGGATTTACTGAGTGAATGATTTGAGGTTTTTGTTGTTTAATTTTTACATTTCTTTATGTAGTTTCAGTATTAATCCCATTGGGTATGTAGTTGGCAAAAAAAAAAAAAAAAAAAAATTCCCCCTATTCTGTGGTAAGGTTGCAAGCTGATTGATTATATGGTGACTTTAAAACTTAATCTCTTACAGTAGTGTGTGATTGGATATGGAGTTTACTTTATTAGGCTAGACACTATAGTTACCTTTCTAAAATACCTTTAAGTTTTATATCTGTGTGTGCGAGTGTTCACATGCGTGTGGTATGTGACCCCAGAGACCATCGATCATCTGGAGTTACAGGCCACCCAGCGTAGGTGCAGAGAAACAAACTTTGAAAAACAGCAAGGCTCCTTAAATCGTTGAGCTACCTCTCCAACCCCAACAGACAGCTTTTTCTTAGCTATTGATGAATACTGCTGACTTACAGTGCCTGTGGTACCATGATACAAGGCTTATTTTGGCCGGAGTTTAAGAGCATTCAGTTCATGGTTCCTTGGCCCTTTTGCTCTTGGACATGGGCTGAGGCTCCCTCATAGCTGGGAAGTTGAGGACCTGAGGTGATTTACCTTCTTTCATGAAACTCCATCTATGTGACAGCTCCACAACTTTTGAAAGGGACCAGGCCTTTCACATGAGGGCTTCTGGGGGGCACTTACCCAGCCAAGGGCCAGGACTTGGTTCATAACTGGAAGAAGTTGAAGGAAACTTCCTTAATGAAGAGGGAAGGGCCTGCAATAGACAAAAAATTCTTATATCTTGTCAGAGGAAGTATAAAAACATATTCTGGATGAGGAATTTAAAATTGATTTATTGCTGAGAAGAATCAGAATGAGGGGAACAGTTGATGGTCCCAGACAGTGTCATGGGGTTTCTCAAGAAAAGATAGGTCTCATAAGAACTGAAGTAATGCCATTTTAAGCCAAGAGCTGTTCTCATTTTGATTCACAGAGCAGGTGGGTTGAATCAGGTGGCCTCAGTATGAGGCTGTTGGGCTGTCTGTTTTGTCCTTTTAACAGCATGTTGTCTACAGTGACAACTTTGCAACTCTTTATTCGGGTTTTTAATTTAACATCTTGACACTCTTAACACTTAATGTTGAGAATGTTGGTCAGAGAAAGTTAAATAGCAAAAGGAGTGTGCACATCCACATGCCATGCAGCGGTGATGTTCTTCATGTTTGGGCTGCGTACTTTTATCTTTGCATATTATCTCTGAGGGGAATCCTAGAGAAGGAGCTGGCAGATTGTTCCTGGAAACAGTAAAAGAATATTGTAGGGCTTTGCCCATGAAGAGGCAAAACTAAGACTCACTGCAGCTCAGGCTGGTCTCAAACACCAGCTTCTCAGTGTCATTGAAAAAAGTCCACAAGTTCCTTTTTTTTTTTTTTATAATATAGCAAGTCAAATTTTGCCAGAGAGTTTTTAATTAGATCTTACGGTGAGAACTAATGAATGTAGTAGAATAGTAGGGTTTAGAAGATATATTTTTTCTTTTAACGGGGAAAGATGAGAGAGAGTGGGGAGAGGAGGAGACAGGAGAGGTAATGGGAGAGAAAGAAAGAATATATTTGATAAAATGACAGACTACAAGTTCCTTTTAATCCTAGCCCTCAGGAGCAGAGGCAGGCAGACCTCTTTGAGTTTGCGCCAGCCTGGTTTACAGAGTGAGTTCCAGGATAGCCAAGGTTACACAGAGACCTTTTCTCAAACAAACAAACAATCAAGATGGAGAAGGAAGGAAAATACTCTTATCTGAGGAGTTCTGTGAAAACTTGGTTTTTTTGTCTTTTTAAGCTTTTTTTTTTTTTAGATTTATTTATTATGTATACAATGTTGTCTACGTATAAACCTGCACGCCAAAAGAGGGCATTGGATCTCATTATAGATGGTTGTGAGCCACCATGTGGTTGCTGGGAATTGAACTCATGACCTTGGGAAGAGAAGCCAGTGCTCTTAACCTCTGAGCCATCTCTCCAGCTCCCTTAAGCTTTTACTATGTGTGTACAGAAGTTGTGCCTGCACACATGTATGTACACTGTGTGTGTGCTTGTTGAATCCCCTAAAGCTGGGTTACAGATGGTTGTGAGCCTCCGTGTGGGTACTGGGATTGGAACCTGGGACCTCTGCAGGAGCAACAAGTGCCCTTACCCACTGAGCAGTCTCCAGTGCAAGAGTTAAATTTCTTCGGCAGTTCAAGCTTTGTAATTCCTTAAAAATCTAGGACAGGACATTATCAGTAATGTCTTTTGACCTTTAATATTGATGCTGGACCCCTGTTCTTAATTCTGAGAAAAACCATCTGTTCTTCCCCCTTTGCCATATAATCAACTGTGAATTGGTCACTGTTGATATATGACTCTGTTACTGGCTGGCATGCGCCTTGAAACTTTACTGGAAGCTGGGAGTGGTGGTGCATACCTTTAATCCCAGCACAGGGAGGCAGAGGCAGACACATCTTTGTGAGTTTGAGGCCAGCCTGGTCTACAAAGCAAGTCCAGGACAGCCAAGGATACACATAAAAACACTGTCTCGAATAAGCAAACAAAGAAACTTAACTGGTTGCAATAGAAGTGAAGAAATGAAGTTCTAATGAGATACTTCATTAATTTTGTAATTTTTCTGATCTTTGCTCTCAAGTGAATGAGGAGTTGGTCTGGGGTCGGGTTTTGGTTTTGTGGTTGTTTTGTTTGTAAGTGTATTTTTTAAAAAGTTTGCTTTAAGTGTTTGGGTGTTGTACTTGCATGTGTGTGTGCTGTGCCTAAGGAGGCCAGAACAGGGCTCTGACCTAGCACTGGAGTTATAATTTGTTGTGAGTTGTCATGTGAGCCCGGGGACTTGAGCCTGGGTCCTCTGGAATAGCCACCAACTCCTAACTGCTGGGCCATCTTCTCAGCCCTGTTGTTTCATTTTTTGAGATGGGGTCTCATTTGTACCGCAAACCAGGTTAGAACTTTGTGTTCTCCCTCAGCCTTCTGACTCTCTCATGTCTAGAATATTGCTACAAGTGCTGACTCTCATAATGTCCATGTATGTTGTATTCTTTGATATGGAACAGTGTTTTGCCATTTTATTTAGTAAGGTAATCGTACTCCACCATGCCTTAACCCCATAATATGAACCATTTGCTTCTCTTGTTTTACCTCTTCTGTGATTAATTTGCACTTGCAATTAAGAAAAGCAAGATGCTAGAGTGGTTTCTTGTGGCACTGTGAAGCGGAATGAACAAGGGCTGACACCATAGGTGCCTGTTTGGGCTCCCCTCTGCCTTTCTAGAGTGGAAGCGCCCAGCAGGAGAGTCAGCAATGATACTTGCTGTCACCAAGCACTGGATTTCAGTAGCTTCCACATTTCTACATGTATTTATTCTCACTAGAAGTTTTCCTCCTAACCGTGTAAAAATGTAAAAACAGTGTTCACTTTGTGGGCTATACAAAAACAGATTGTGAAAGCCAGATTTATTTTGTAGGCTGTAGTGTGCCAGATTGTCTTAAGATATTTTTGAACTTTGGAGTGTAGAAAAAGCTAACTTGAAACTTGAAAATATAGGAACACCACAAACACAAGACTTACAGAAAATTACAAACACGAGTGGAGATAGTCAAGTGTTTTAAGCCAGATAAAGGGGTATTAGTTCAAAAACCAGAATGGAAATGAAGAATAAATAGTTCAGTGTTATGTCAGAACTGTTCTTTCTGCACTTGAAGGAAGCATTCTCTCTTTTTTTTAATTCTATTGATTGATTGGTTGATTGATTGATTGATGCCTCTGAAGTACCATTGTCAGAATTTTTGTGCCTTAGTGCTATTGCTGAGTAAAATAAGGGTTGGTCTGAAAACTGAGCTAAGTAACTAACAATGGTTAGCAATGCTGTTTAGGTTCTCAGCCCTTACTAGGTGTGGACATGCTAAAGAAGGGGGCGGAGTAAGATGGGATAGCACTTTCTAATGCCTCTCAAAGCCATGTAATTGAAAACTTAGCTGTTTTCTTGGGAATGTTGTCATGTAATATTTGGTACTGTTGTTGACCATGGGGAGCCAAACTGCATAAAGTAAATCTGTTGCTATGGGAAATGGCCATCTGCCACTTCAGTTAGCTAAAATTTAAGTACAGTGTGCACTGTGTTTGATGTATCTTAATCTGTTTTTGTTTGTTTTTTTTTTTTTTAAATAAAAATTTAGCTAGTATGTTCAACACACCAGGAATGCAAAGCTTGTTGCAACAAATAACTGAAAACCCACAGCTTATGCAGAACATGCTGTCTGCCCCATACATGAGAAGCATGATGCAATCACTAAGCCAGAACCCTGACCTTGCTGCCCAGGTGAGCTTATACTTGTGTTTAAGAGTCTTCTGAACTAAATACACAGTCCAGTGATTCTGTTCTTGGCACATCTGTCTAATGCTCTTACAGAATACTAGAGATGCAGACAAATTGTATCTCCAGCTTTGGGGGCAGCTTTACTTTATATATAGTGGAAACAACCTGGTTTATCCTATTCGTTGATGAGACATACCTTTAGACAAAACACTGAAGTTTGTAGAGAATTTGCTGTGATCATGGTGCTGCTCTTGTCTATCTGTCTGGGTGTGGTTCTGTACCACCTAGAGCAGCGCCTGTTGCTGGGCCTGAACAACTGTGGGGGCATGGAGTAGACTGTGCTCGTACAGTGCTTTCCTTTATAGCTGTCGAATTTAAGTTTAAAAGCTTCTCATTTCATTTTGCTGAATGAAATGGTTTTTATTTTCAGCATCGTGCAACCACATTGGTACAAGGATATAGCAGATGTCCTTGAGCTAGGGTCTTCAGTGATTACTTACGTAACAACAAATAATTAAAGAATGATGCTTTTTGATAACTTTTATCTTAAAATGTGTGTTACAGGTTGTGTTTTTTGTTTGTTTGTTTGTTTTTTGAAAGCTGGTTTTGTGAGTTTATTAATGAATGTGTGTTGTTAACTGTCTCCTAAGCCACGGTTGTCACTTGGCTACCTAAGATATGGTATGAAGTGACCCTTTCCTGTATTTTCAAGTATGTGTTTAGTTACAGCACTGAATGTATCTTATTCTTAATAGTATCTTTAGTAAGCATACTCCATGTAAGTGTAAAGGACCTGGCTGCTATACACACTGTTGTTTTCTAATAGTAAAGCAAAACACTGACAATGCTAGTAGCCTTGGCTGCCCTGGACTTGCTTTGTAGTCCAGGTTTAGCTTGAACGCAGAGCGCTCTGCCTGCCTCTGTCTCCTCTGGTGCTCAGATCATAGACCTGCACCAGCCAGCTGGTATCTCTTATAGAATATTGAAAACTTTTATAGTGTGCTCTGGCATTAGATGGGTAAAGTTATGGCTTACTCTTTTGAAACCTAAATATTTGAAATGTGAAAACTTAATTGTGGTATGAAGTTTCAGGTAAGTTAGGAAAATACAATAAATAAAAAGATGATTTTTTTTGTGGCAAGCTTTTTTTAGACTAATTTAATTTATTTGAAGAATTTGAATAATTTAAGATGAAAAACAAATGTGGTAACTGGTTAACAGCCTCAAAGTAAAGCAGCATTTGTCTGGAAGACTGAAGAAGCATCCCTGGCCTGGAGCAGCTCCTGCTGTGGTCACTGCTTATCTGAAGCACTGTGTATCCGTACCACAGCAACTGCTGTGATGATGTTGAGGTCTAAAATTAAATAATCCACTTTGAAAGAGGGAGGGGAGAATTCTTTTTTTACAGGATTTACATACAGTTGTTCTTCAGTGTGGTTTCCTAATTGAGGGCAAAGATCATTTCCTCCTCGGACTTTGGACAGGTAAACAGGCCATCAGTAATCACTGGAAAGTGATACACAATTTGTCTTTTTTGAACCTAGTAGTTTCCGGTTTGCTGATTGTGTATGATGAGCTTACAGGCAGGCACAGCATGTTAACACTGGCCCTGACTGTTAATTGGTCAGACTTTGAAGGTCAGGAGGTGGCTGCTTTTCTACCTGTGGTGCTAGTGAGGTGGACTCCAGATGTCTTGGTCTCATTTACATCCTTGGGTCTTAGGTATTTTAAGACTTCCCCAGAGGACTGTTGGTGCTAGTTTGGGCTGGTTTTCATCTAGCAGCTCCATTTCTCTGGCAGGTTAGTGGCTGTCTCATGGCTATTCTGGACCTAATCTCAACTGATAGTATTGGGCAGGCAGATAATAGTGGCTCCAGATCTGGGCTTTCTCTGTGCCTCCTGTTTGTGTGCTGAGGTTTCTAAGCAAGCCACATTTACGCTCTGACATATTGATGTTTCTTCTACTCTGTGGTGTAGGAAAGCATAGCTTCCTGAGAGCCTGGCACTCCCAGTATTATTTCCTTCAAAAGCAGAAATTCACCTTGGTTCAAGGAAACAATTGCTTTTCTTTTTTAGGGCACTGCATGTCACCCATCATCCACCATTCTCGTTGACAGAGAAGAGACCTTCCTTCCTACCAGCCTTCCTTCCTCCTTCTTTCCCCTCCCTGAGCTCCTTGTGGTTAGAACTTGCCCTACTCCTTTTATTATGTTCTCCCTTCTTCCCTTTTAAGTGCCAGTTTAGGCACTTGGAGGAAGGTAGAATCTTAAACCAGGTACATTGTTTCAGATATTTCCAGTTAAAATGTTTGAACACTTGCCCCATAGATGATGCTGAATAATCCCCTATTTGCTGGAAATCCTCAGCTTCAAGAACAAATGAGACAACAGCTCCCAACTTTCCTCCAACAAGTGAGTAAGAAAAGATGCTGCTGTCTTTGTGATGATCTGCTTGAAAGGTTTGATGGTGAACGTGTCCTTCTCCTTCCCAGCTGACAGCACAGTGCAGAGGAGTGTGTGATTTCGCCCACTTGTAGACACTGAGCCTGATCCTCCCGGCCCATGTCACTCCTGACTGTGCTTACACTGTGAGGAGAGAACCGTGTTGCCTTTGCTCATGAGGATTTAGGGCTCCGGATGCTTTGTTAGTACCATAGGCCATTTTCCTCACTTGCTAACCCTGAAGTGCTTCCTAAGATCACGTCTACTGTATGGTTCGGACGAGTCTTGAGTGATAGGAAAGTGCTACCCTCTCTTAAATCACAGGTTGGGTTTTGTTATAATGCCTCGATTTCTTCCAGATTATTAGAGTGCTTTTTCTTCGAGAAGTAAATCTCATTTCCTCAGAATCAGAATTAGTAAGGTTAAGATTGTCAGTGTTGTCACATTAGGAAGGCTTTAAAAAAAAAAAAAAGTACCCAAGACTGTTGTAGTGTCATATAGAAACATAAAAGTGGTGTTGGTTTTTTGAAACTGGTAGTTGTCAGGATTCAAAGCTGATTGAAATGATTGTTAGGCCAGCAAGTCATTCTCCACGGTTCCTGATTGTGCTTGGTCTTTGCAATGGTGTGAGCTCCCTCTTGTCAGTCAGGTATGGGTATTTGAAAGTAGTGAGGCCAAACTGGGGAGCAGTTGTTTTTAGATGGCAGGCTGGTACAGTTGTTAGGTCAGCAGCGGACAGGCGTGGTCAGGAGATACTGTGCACAGCTTTCACCACATTACCACCATCCCATAAAGTGTGCGTTTGGAGTTGTATAGACAGTTTTTCTTTTCTTTTTTTTTTTTTTTTTTTTCTTCTGTTGGAGAAGGGGGAAATGTGCTTCTGAGATTGCTCTTATAGGCTTGTGAATGGCTCAAGTAATAATTTCTGTATGGAATTTGCTATCAAAGAGGAGAGTTTGTGTTTATTTTGGGAAGAAATACGGAGTAGTGGTGTCTGAGAGTAAGATTTTAGATTTTCTATAAAAGTGTTGCAAAGTGAGAAAACTATACCTGCCTTTGTTTAATTCTTTGGTAAGCACTAGTCTCTTTCCTCCTTAGATGCAGAATCCTGACACGCTGTCTGCAATGTCAAACCCTAGAGCGATGCAGGCATTGTTGCAGATTCAGCAAGGCTTGCAGACGTTGGCGACAGAAGCCCCCGGCCTCATTCCAGGGTAGGGCTTATCACATAACAGTTCGTTTCACTGAGAATTTTAGGTTTAATGTCATTCTGCCTTTTATTTTGGTTGAGTTGTTTCTTTTTAATAGAATAACCTAGCCGATACTATGTTGAAATGTAACCTGTAACCTGTGCTTTCCTTAGGTTTACTTCTGGCGTGGGAGCAGCAGGCAATTCTGGAGGCTCCTCAGGAACCAATGCACCAAACACTGCACCCAGTGAGAACACGAGCCCCACAGCGGGCGCTGCGGAGCCAGGCCACCAGCAGTTCATCCAGCAGATGCTGCAGGCGCTGGCTGGGGTGAATCCTCAGGTGACGTGTTTTCCTACAAACTTTTCATTTAAGTTTAGAATTTTCAAAACAGGCAAAAAGAAAGCAGCAGCTGTTTTCTGTTCAGAGTACTAAAAAGTACTATTAAAGATTAAATCTAAAAAAATGTTATTATTACAGAGATTGTTAATTTTGCTGCTATGTCAGATAACAAAAGAAAGAATACTTTCAATCTAATGCCATAATATTTAGAAGTAGCCTTGTAAAATATGAGTTTAAAAGTTCTTTCTTCAAAGCCATTTTAAATAAGTTTTATAAGAGTTTAGCCAGGAGAATCTAAAAATATTGTCAGTGTTCCAGAGCAACTGTACCTGGGCTTCCTACTCTAGCCTGTCCCCTGCCGAGCACATCCTCTGTGGGAACATGTACTCTTACTCAGAAGTCACCACTAAAGGGGCTGGAGAGATGGCTGGCTTGATGGCTAAGAGCACTGGCTATGCTTCCCAGCACCCATTTGGCAGTTGGTTCATCACCATCTCTAGCTCCAGTTTCAGGGATCTTCCAACTTTTGTGGGCAACAGGCATGCTATCTGACTGGTTAGCGATGTAATAGTGTAGTCGGTATCAATGCAAGGAAAAGTGTCTACAATTCTAAACTGTCTGCACATGGGCTTTAAAAACAGTTTGCTTATTCACAAGGCTCTGCAGTGGTGGAATTTATTATGCTTTTTTTACTCTTTGTTGGAGAAGAGCTTCCAGGGAATCAAATCCTAACCCTGTGTGCTTACCCATCCTGTACAGCTTTTTAAAAATCAGAGTCATTGATCTGCTTGTCATGGTTTAGGAACAGAGTATTTGAAAAGTAACGTGCTAACCAACTTTGAAATAGGATGGGAGTTTATAAATCATTTGAAGTAAATATGCATGTATGTATGTAAAGATAAAATATGCACTAAGTAACACCTGGAGATTATTTTTCTTTAAAAATAATTGCAGATGGTCTTGTGTGTTTTAGCTGAATAAGTCCATTCTATTTCACAAATAACCAAATATAGTGACTATATCTCAAGGCAATTTAAGAAAGCTGTGCAAACAGTGCACATTATTTAAAATGCAATCAAAGTTTTTGAAAAGTGACTTGGGTATAGCAAAGACTAGCTTTCCTTAGAATGTGCTTCGTTGTTCTTCTCAACAGCTACAGAGTCCAGAAGTCAGATTTCAGCAACAACTGGAACAGCTCAGTGCGATGGGCTTCTTGAACCGGGAAGCAAATTTGCAAGCACTGATAGCAACAGGGGGTGATATCAACGCAGCGATTGAAAGGCTGCTGGGCTCCCAGCCATCATAGCAGCATTTCTGTACCCTGAAAAAATGTAATTTATTTTTGATAACGGCTCTTAAATCTTTAAAATAACCTGCTTTATTTCATTGGAATTCTGTGCTGTTATAAATGCAACAACAGGAAGAGTCTGGAGGTGAAGTGCAGTAAGATGTGCGGGTTTCTGTATCTCGAACAGTGGGAATCAATGTTTCCGGTTAAGGCTGCTGCATGCATCAAACACTTGGCATTTATTGTAATTTTTTTTTTAAATATCACCTTTTCTAATTGGGTGAACAAATTTTTGTCCTGCATCTGTCCAACTAACTTGCTTTTTAAACATAACCTATGGTAGTAATTTATGTAGAATAAAGGCATTAAAAAAAAGCAGATCATTTGCGCTCCATGATTTGTGGTACAATATTGCTTATTGTGACTTTGGCATGTACTTTGCAAATAATGCTGTAAGGTTTATACTACTGACAAACTTTGTTTATTTGTATACGGTGCAAATTATTGCACATTTCTAGGTCATCTAAGCAAAATTCCTGTAACCAAAAAAGTCAAATAAGGATTCCTAACTGTGTAGCATCTTACAGCATCTTTGATAAACATCTCTCAGCAAAAGTGCCATTTAGTCAGGTTTATTGAAAATAAAGAAAAACTAATTCTGGTTATCTCTTTAGGAACACTTCATGTACAGGCAACATAATGTACCGCTGCTATCTCAACACTTAAATAATGGCTGCACGTTACCTTTATTTTATGCAGACTGAAGGAGCACTGTAACGTGGTCCAGTGCACCTGCCCGGGGCTTCCTGCTCCCCATAGGTGTCTAAACAGCGTTGAGTTTCATTGAACCGCCTCTTTGACTGGAAGTTCTGCTGCTTCTGTTAATTGCCGTGTATGTTATGGGTGTGTCAGCCTTCTCATTCATAGGAAACGCCCGGATTGAAAATGATTAGGGAGCCACTTGTTTCTCAAGTGTTTGGCTAGTTCTATTAAGAAATAGTTGAATGTTCAGAGTCTCAGAGAAGGGGGTGGGGGAGGGATGAGACAGAATCTGTTCTGGATTGGGCCAGCCTGAACTAGTAATACTGGCAACCAAGATTCTGTGAAGATTCTAGTGTCAGTCGGGTGAAAAACAAAGAGCCGTTATAATGATTTTAAGTAAGTTTGGCTATTCTGTAGCCTCTTTCTTCCTTCCTCGAAGTTTTATTTGCCTAAGTCTCAAACTGTTGGGGTGATACATTCCATTGGGACCAATTAAAATTATAACTTTAGGGTCAGTGATATAGTGACTGGCTCTGGTTCAGTATTCTCTTAGGTCATTGTATTCTCTCTTGTACAAGTTGCCCGAAATTATAATGTTAAAATAATCTAAAATGAGTTCAGACAAATAAAATCAAGGGAAATAGAAGGTGAATTCCATAACTTCTGTAAGTTGCTTGCTGTTAAAAGGTTTCGAGGCCAGGTTGCCCCCAGACTGTACGCTGTTCCGACACTTTCCCCAGGAAAAGAACAAGTACAGAGGTCGGGATGGAGGCCTGGCTGGAGGAGGTCGGCAAGGATCGTGCTCACCTGTGTCTGCTCTCAGCCTTGCTCCTCAGTGTGTCTGCTTTAAAGACTTCTTGTACTGGTGATGGCGATGCGCAGGTGGGACAGTGTCGTAAGCAGCTTGATTTATTAATCGCCAAATAACAATAAACCTCCAGCTTTTACACTTGGTCTGTGTCGACTCTTTTGTAGAAAGATGTCTTTGTTTTTTTCTCAATATAGCTAGATACTTCTTTTGTTGGTATCTGGGCGGTGGTGACACACACCTCTAATCCCAGCACTGTGGAGACAGAAGCAGGTGGGTCTGTGAATTTGAGGACAGCCAGGGCTACGCAGAGAAACCCTGTCTGGAAAGACAACAAGAACACCAACAACCACAAATTCTCTCGTGAGGTGGGGGTTGTTTTGTACAGCACACCCTTATTCTGTAACCTCGGCTTATGTATCCCAGACTGGCCATGGATCTGCAGACCCGCCCCAAACCTTGGAAGTGTTGAGATAACAGCCATGCTGTCCTGGGAGTAGTGTTGCTATGCGAGCTGTCTAGAGAACGAATTGGTGTGCTTTGTTGATGCCTTTGGCTCACAGTGGGTCTACTTAGGAATGACACCCCCACCTCCCCCAGGTAAGAACAGTGGTGCCAGTGGCTGGAATTCTTAGAAGTGCTAAGAAGACATTAAGGGCCGGCATAATTGTTCTTACGTGGAGTCCTTTAGAACACAGTAAGAAAAGAAAGGTCAGGGTGAAATTTAAACTCTAAACAAGTAAACAGGCAAATGACTGTGTTCAGGATTTCTAATTTCAAGCCGGGTGGGGTGTGCCTGAAACTGGGGGAAACCCAAAGTTTGAGGCCAGTCTGGATACATAGTGACATCCTATGTATCAGAAGAAGAAAGGGGAAGAATTCTTAAATGGTGGATTTCAAGTTTGGTGTGAACAGATTATTAAGTAGACGGGGCCTTACCACCTAACCCTGACTAGCCTCAAAGTCACAAAGTTTCACAGGCCTCCATGCATTTTGTTTTAACAAACAGTATTTCTTTTCATTATGGAAAAGCAGCGGGGTGTGATTAAAACAAAGATAGCCTTGGGAACAGACTGCCGCTGTGACAGGGTGATAGCACGAGAGAAAGAGTGCACTGCAGAGAGAGGGACATGCTCAGTATAGGCACAGCAGCCAGCTCCCGCAGCCTCACATTGAATACCAGAAGGTGATTTTACACAGTACTTCAAATAACTTGAGCCCACTGGCTCATCAAAAAGCACAGGTATGGCTGTCCTTTCCCCTGAGGTAGACAGTCTGGCTGTTTTGACATTGCTCTAACTCCCGGCTGGGTACAGTGCCACCAGTGGACACTCATTTCCTTACACCTGTTCACACATAAGTAGTGAAAATATGGCACACTGACATGGGAGAAAGCCACATGCTCAGGCCACAGCAAGACGGCCTCACTAGGATCCCCACACCCACCGCCAACAGCAGCCCTCAGTCAGCAGCCACAGCCTTTCTCCCTCCTTACTGTGTGTTATATAAACGTGCCTGTGTTGTTATTTAAGTGAGGAACATCAGTAGCAGCTGAGGGACTGGAGAGTGGGTCTTCTCGAGATGGGGGAATATGTTGCCAACTGGCTTTTTCTAATGTTTCTTCTAGCGTCATCTGCCTCAGTAGAAATACCTCCTTAAGGGCTGGAGAGATGGCTCGAGAGGTTATGAGCACTGGCTGTTCTTCCAGAGGTCGTGAGTTCAATTCCCTGCAACCACATGGTGGCTCACAACCGTCTATAATGAGTTCTGGTGCGTAGGCGTGCATGCAAACAGAATATTGTATACATAATAAATAAATTAAATCTTTAAAAAAAAATGTCTCTTTGAGAGCTGGGGTGGTGGTGCTCGCCTTTAATATCAGTACTCAGGGAGGCAGAGGCAGGTGGATCACTGTGAGCCTGAGGCCAGCCTGGTCTACCAGGTGAGTCTAGGACAGCCCAGGTTACACAGAGAAATCCTGGGAAGAAAAAAAAAAAAAAAAAAAAAAACAAAAAAAAACCTGTCTCTTTGATAAGCCAGCATGATCACACACAGTTCAGCCTCAGTAAGCCCATCACAGCTGCACCATACTAAGCTACAGGCACATTTGTTGTCCACGTTGTGTTTGTCACTCCTCTGGCCATCCTGTTGCAGGACCTGTCCATCTGTTTGCCACGGCCTGCTGAATGGGTGACTGTCTGGAACCTTGCTCGTTGTTGACGTCTGGAATGTCTTCAGTGTTTTCGTTCTCGATAGATTCCTCTGCTGCCCAGCTTTATGCCATGTTGAAGGCTCACATCTTCAACAGTTTCTCCTTGTGTCTCTTCAGGTCATCTCTGCTAGCCATTCCAGCACCACCCTTGTTAGTAAGATGGCTCACACTGACAGTGCCGAGCACTTCCCCAGCAGCTTGACTTCCTGTGCTGTGAACAGAGGCATTTCCTCTTTCTTGTCCTGTCTGCTGGCCTTTGTGACATTTTAAACAAAGTCTTTATATCACAGAGCAGGGGGAGAAAACAGAAAGAAAGGAAAAGAGTAAGTAGTCCGAGTAAGTCTTATTCCATGTGGGTGAGGGGAGACGCTTGCGTTGGGCCTGCCTGTATGCCTGCCATTTTATTGCACACCGAGAGTGTGCTTGGGTAGATGGATCTGGGCAGCACCACGAGGTGTGTCACAGCCTAAGGGAACTGGAAGGGCCTTTCCTTTGGAGGGCATGCTGGGTAAGTTGTGCTGTGTGCCTGCATCTTGACAGCAGTCTGTGGTATCAGTGTACAGTTTTGCACTTGTGCCGTCATGTTAACTCTCAAAAGATAACAGATTTTTGACATCAGGGATTCCCAAATGCCCACCCTCCTCAGCAGAGAGAGATGTTAAACCTATTTTAATTTAATAGGCCAAACAAAATAAATGGCAAAACATAACAGGATTGGATTTGAAAAAGTGTATTGACAGAAGTGTCCCTGACCAAAAGTGTGGTTAGAAGGCTATGACTTCGTGCATTCTCTCGTAGAGGTGTTAGGAGTTAGGTCCTATGAGAAGACCACTGTTTAACCAGCCTTTCTGACCTCGTTACACACACTTCGCTGCTGCAAGCGAACACAGCTGCTCCTGGCAGATTTGGCATCCTCTGGGTTTTGTGCACGCTTTCCTTGCTGAGTAGAAAGCCTCCTGTTCTTTCCAGGCTCAGTTTGTGCTAGCCCAGTGCTTGATTCTGCGATCACTTAGGTTTTCCCTCAGCTACTACTTCATTCTGTTCTGAAATGACCTGGGTAGGTACGGGAGGGACGGCCTGCACTGCTCCTTGGCGTCTTTTCCTAGAGCAGTGCTTCTCAACCTTCCTGTTGCTGTGACTCCTGCTCTGCTGACCCCCAGCCATAAAATCATTTTGCTGCTGCTTCACAACTGTAATTTTGCTGCTGTTGTGAATCATATTGTAAATCTCTGAAAGGCGACTCCTGCGAAAGCATTCGACTCAAAAGAGGTCTGGACCCTCAGGTTGAGAGCCACCGTCCGAGAGCATTCCACTGACTGGGAGTGGGAACTCACTGAGCAGTCATTCAGTGGGAAAATACAATTGTGTCATATAGTCACTTCAGTTCACAGAAGCGAAGCAAGGCTCTGGGGACACAGCACAGAGAACACACTGCCTGCCAAGCATGAGGGACTTCAACAAGGAGTGCGGCCTTGTAATAGAGTGGACATTCTCACACAAGGTGGCAACGCAAGCAGGACTTGACTGTCTTGGGCGTGGAGTTACTGTGTGCTGCTTGAAAGTTGTATTAATGTTGAGTGTTGGTTGGTTGGTTTCCGGTGTATTGTGTGTGGTGAGCACACTTGTCAGTGTGGACATATGTGTTTATGGCCTGTGCGTAGAGGCCAAAGACCCATGTCATGTTTCCTTCATGGATCGCTCTCCTCCTTTGTTTGTTGGGATGGTCTCACTGAACCAGCAGGTCATTAGGCTGGTCTGCCTGTGTCCACTTTCGCATCCCTGGGATTAAAGGCACATGTAGCCATACCAAGCTTCTACGTGGCTCTAGGCTTATGTCCTTAATGCTTGTGTGGCAGGTACTTTACTAGCGGAACTGCCCTCAGCCTGTATCTGCCATTCTTAATTGAGAAGCAAGGGTCAAAAGGAAACAGGGTGGACATAGGGAAAGTATTAGCAAGTGGCCATCTGCGTTGAGAGATCACAGGTACCTGAGCTGAGTCGGTGTGTTCTGTCTTGCTTTGAGAGATACTGTGATCAGAGTCAACTTAGAGGGAAAATGTCAATTGGGCAGGCAATGCCAGGCCATGTCCATCAGTGAGGGAAGTCAAGGCAGGAATCTGAAAGAAGGCCTGCTTATTTCACACAGCAGTTCCTCCGATCGAGGAACCCATAGCCAACCAAGGAGGTCCAGCGGGAGCCATGGAGAAACAATGCTGGCTCACTTACAGGCTGGCCTATGTGCAGGACCACCTGCCTGAGCACGGCATGGCCACAGTGGGCACAGTTAACAGTCAGAACCTTCCTCCACAGACGTTGACAGTTAAACCCTGGGTGCTGGACACATGGCCCCAGCAAAGGACTTGGGTTTAGCTCCCACACCCATGTGATGGCTAAAGACCATCTAGAATTCCCCTTCTGAACTCACCAGACACACATGTGGTGCATATCCTACATGCAGACACACATGTAAAGTAACAAAGTACAAACTAAGAGGACAGGACAGGATCAGTGAGGTCGGGGTAATGATTGAAGGTCAGACCGGTGGGGTTTATTGCCAGAGGCATAAAAGTTAAAAGCAAGCTGACGAGGTGGAGAAGCACAGATGTGAACAGGAGCCGTGAAGGAAGCTTGGGTTTGACACACATAGTCAACTAAATGCAAACAGTGGTGTTGAGAATGTGACCACAAAGAAGCACAGAACAGGTGAGCGGGAGGTCTCAAGTAGAGAAGCCTAGTCCTGGGAGGTAGTCATGGCTGGCTGTGCTGTGTCACTGCCCTGTGCACATAGCAGTTTGGCGTGTGAGGTTAGATAGTAGTTAGGTGAACTGAGGGGACACCAAGGCGTGGTGCACACACTTGGAATGACCCCGGAGCTTGAGTAATTCCCTTCCAAGAAGACCCGCCCACGTGTGGGTCTTGGTTGGTGC